ATATTTCGAGAATATCATGTCAGCTGTATTTTTTATTAATGACATTGTTTCACATCATTATCTTTTCTCTTTTTTTTTTTTGATTTATTAGCCACGTCAATAATTTGTTTCCACCTCATCGTATCCATTAAGGAGATGAAAAAAATTGTTAATGTGGTACGTTGTAATTTGTCAAAAATACCACTAATGTGATATCTTAAAATACAACAGGCTTTCTTGTGGCCTAGGATCTCTTAATAATTAAAATTTTAAATATTTAAATTAGATTTTTAAGTTTGATTTTTCTTTTAGAGTAAGAAGAGGTTTAGAAAAGAGAAAATTATGTTTTATTGTATAATTTATCATATCATGTAAATAAATTATACTTAGGCAAAACTTGAAATTAAGGACACCAACTTCAATCAATTTTAGAATTAAGGGTATGCATTTTAATTAATTTGAAATAAATATACTGTATTCTCAACAATTGAACATAAGGACACAATCTCTGTACTAATTGAAAATTAATGTAATTTGAATGAAGAATTGAGATGTGACATCATAAAATTGGCTTCTTTTCAATTGAATTATTTTTTGTTTGGCAATTTAACAATTGTGCGGGGTGATAAGATTTTAATTGCAACTTCCTTCCATCACATGGTTACTTTTGTCAAATTATCTTTATTTTCAACAAATTATCTTTATTTTCAATTAATTTAAAGGTCACATCTGCCTTAGTTTAAAAGGTCAATCGACTATAAATGTTAAAAAATATACACTCTCTAAGTTTTAGCTTTTGGATTCAAATTCCCCTTTTTCAAATTTATACCTATTCCAAACTAAAAATTAAAAAATAAAAAATCTAAAGATCATATCCTTATTTTAAAACAATAAACTTTGTATCCTCAATTCTAAAATTGGGAAAAGTTTGTCCTCATTTTTGGGTTTTTCCATTGTAATTGTTTATCTAACTATTTCAAATCCTCCTTGCTTATTACTTTCAACTTAAAAATTTCAAGGTCTGACTTGAGTTAGGATACAAATGTTCTTCTATTTTTATTTGTTTATCCATTTTATCCTCTCTCTCTCTCTCTCTTTCAAACATATGCTAAATTTACAACCGAAAATGATTGTTAGGCAAAATTGTCTTGAAAAGTAGTTTTTAAAAATAATCTGATTTCATGAAACTTCTTTTAGGCCTAAAAGAGCAACTCAAAATAAGAAAAAAGAAAAATAATTGATAAGCAATATGTGGATGAGAAATTTAGAATGATATCTTATAGACTCATACTATATGGCATGAATATATATGAAGATTTTATTTTATTTTATTTTTTACAGAAACATGAAGAATGTTACAAAACATTCTTTTATCACACTTTTTCCAACATTTCTTTTTATAATTTTCTCATTAGCATTTTTCATATGAACATATATCTTAAGTAATTTATATAAAATATAACGGCACAAAAAAATGTAACCTAAATAAGTTTAACCCTCAACATGAGAATATAAACTATCCAATAATATTAAATTCGCCGAATTTAATGTTTCATCTATTCTATCAAAATCTATTAAAAAAATCTATTATATATATATATATATATTTTATACTATCCTTTCGGTATTCAAAAATCACATTGGATCCTAACTAATTCAGAGTCGAGTCGGGTTGGACCCTATATAGGGGAAACTCTCCCAGCATTTATTTTTCTATTTACAAGACTTGAGCTTAAGATTTTATTTGAAGAGAACCGAATTCTTTTCACTCAGATTAACAGGTCATTTGGTAAAAAATCTATTATATTAAAAAAAATTCATCTATTAATTATCAGCCATACTAATACTATTCTAAAATTATAAGAACATCTTTAAAAAAAATTTCTAAACTAAAGGGATAGAAAATTGAGAAAAGTAAAAATAAAAATATTTTGTTTAAATACTTTTAATAAATATTAGATATATTGATTTATTAAGAGTATTTACTTTTTTATATGTAATTTTTAACATTTTAATTATTATGATGTTTTGATTTTTCGTAATTTTTTTTATTGCATAATAAAAGGCCATCCTCCCTTATCCATTACCCCTTATCTCACTTAACTTCTATGTCATATGACTCAAACTTAAAATTTCTTACTTTCAGCAAAGAGAAATTATTATTGAATTACTTAGGTATTTGACAATTTTTCATAATTTCTAAAGAAAATAAAGAGAATACTCTATTTGTCTTAAAATATAAGTTGTTTGACTCTATTATATGGATTTTTAGATCATGTTTTTATCAAATGGAACTACTAAATAAAAATTACATATACAAATTTTTTAATTATCATTAATATATTATAAAAATGTATTATTTGAAATTATATAAAAAATTCAAATGATTTATATTTTGATATGGAGAAAGTTTTATAATAGTATCTCTTCCCATATGCAAACCACAATACTTTTAACTTAATTGGGAGGTTGAACATCAGAAATCAAATGGTCCGCTCCATTGATGAGAAAATGATGGGCAACTACCTTCTTTCCTTTTTTTTTTTTTAATGCTTTTAAAATTATGATTTAAGTTAAAAGTATAATAAATATATTATTTATTTTAAATTTATATTAAAAAAAATTAATGATTCTGCACCTTTAGATAAAGTGATTTGTCACTTGCCTTTAAGGGGAAATACATCCATGTTTGATGTTCCAATCCTTAGGATAACTTTTTCCTATCTCCCA